GTCGAGTCCGACTTTAGGGTTGCGGTGCTCATCTCCGTTTCAAAGCCGAAGAGCCAGCGCTGTCCGGAGACGTTTCCGTGGTCATGTGGCCGGCATGACTAAGCACCAAAGCGCACGGAACGCTGTTACCTTCCCACCGAAGTGGTACCTATTTATCTACTTGCAATTTCTTGCTTTCGAACTGCTAGGTTGGCAGGAGCTGGAACTAGAGATGGGAGCTCACTCCATCATGCGGCACACTCGGGTCTCGAACTGCTGAACTACCGACCTTCCACAGCCTGCAGTTCAGCGTCTTAACCACTTGAGCCACCGGCAGTATCGTCCGATTTAATGACCACTTGTAGAACTTTTGGATTCTTTTAACATTCCTCCCCTAAATTGGGTTTAAAAAAAATGCAAGCTGAAAATTTGGGGCAGGGGAGGAGAGGAGGAATATGAGAAATAAAAGCGTATGAGGTGCCATATGGGAAGCCTGACCCCCTTCCTTACAAATGAGGGGCCCAGAACAGAAGGAAGCTGCAAGCCCCACAGAAATGAATAAAGGTCCATGTCCCTCTTCCACGCATTCGCCCATGCATTCGGATAAGCGGAACTCCCCCGCCCCCCGCTTGTGCTTTGGGTTTCTGTCTGCTCCATCACTGTGATGGTGTCTGAAGTGCAGCGCATGAGTGGAAAAGCACCAGATTCTTACGTTTGAACGGAAGGTTCCAATCCTTCAGCACACGATAGATGTGGGTCAATCCCTTCTTCGTCAGCACCCCGCTCCGAGCCTTCCTGTCTTCTGAGATCAACGAGGTTTCAGAACCACCACAGGGACTAGAAACTTGACGTGAAAAAAATAACGCTTTGTCCTACCTAGAAAGTCCAATTGTTTGTTTGCAAAAATGCACAGGAGACCTAACTGAACTTCATCTTCCAGAAAAGGGAACCAAAGGACACTGGGTGGATGGTTGGGTTTTTTTGATTTTATGTATGCGGAAGTCACTTTGGTATTCTTGCAAAGTCTTCCTGTGCCCAAACCAAAACTCTTCCCTCCCCACCAAAGGTTGTAACCTTCAGGTGGCACCTGGAGAAGTCCCAGACTTACAAATGATTCCCAGACTGTAGAGATCCATTCCCCTGGAGAAAATGGCTGCTTCCGACGGAGGACTCTATGACATCATACCCCACTGAGGCACCTTGAACTGGTGAAAGATAAGGAGTTTGTACTAAGAACCTTAAAAAATAAATGGGATAAAGAAAAACAAATAACTTCTGATGATGTGAATAAGTTAAGGGTGAATTTGAAGAAAATTAAATTAGAAAAGTATAGAGAGCTTGAAAGAAAGATAATTTGGAAATGGTATAGGACCCCTGCCCAATTGGCATATATGATCCAAGGTATGAAACCTAATTGCTGGCACTGCAATGCAAAAGAAGGGTGGTATTCTCACCTGTGGTGGGAATGCCCAAAGGTTAGAGATTTCTGGGGAAAGGTACGGGGAAAGATAGTAGGATTAAGTAAGGTGGATATTAAAATAGTTGATCTATTATTTATGGGCGTATTGGGAAACTATAATATTGAGAGACGAAATCAGGATATTTTTAAAGCAATGTTACTAGCAGCGCATGCTGTGATTGCATACGGTTGGAAGGAGAGTCTGAAGTGGACTTTAGATAGATGGAACGACTATCTATACAAATATATCCAATCAGATATACTGGAATGTATTAAACAAGATAAGGCATGGGATGGAAAGATGAAGGAAAAAGAAATGGTCTACATACTTTCAATGGGTAAATAATGGAGAAGCCAATAGGAAAAATGAAAAAAAATGTGCTCATGGTTAAAAATTAATTTGTAGTTATGTAATGGTCACCTGGTGGGGGGTAGGATATAAAAGGGGGGGAAATGTATCATAAGAGAATTGGGATTGTATTGTAATGTAATAATAATTTATGATGCATATAAAAATTTAAAAAAACCCATCATACCCCACTGAGGTCCCTCCCTTCCAAAACCCTGCCCTTCCAAGGCTCCACCCCCACGTTTCCAGGAAAGCTGGCAACCCTAACCCCGTCATTGCTTAGACTCCTTCTTGAAAATCAAGATGGGGCTGCCCTGAAGAGGGAACCAGCACAGACTAATAGTTAGGGTTGCCAACTCCAAGTTGGGGAATTCTTGGAGATTGGGGGGGGGGGGGGGGGGACGACCTCAGCAGAATATAATGCCATGAAGTCCATCCTCCAAAACAGCCATTTTCTCCAGGGAAACTGATCTCTGTAGTCTGGAGATGAGTTATAATTCTGGAAGATCTCCAGACTCCATCAGGAGGTTGGCAACGCTATACCCTATGCGCGAATCCTTGAAGACAGTCCCCTCACACACTCAAAACCCGGCAATTTTTTCCTTAAAAAAACAACCCTGTTAATTCTTTAAAACAGAATAACCCCATGCTTGACGGTGCCCAGAATCTTTACCAGGAGGCAGCCATCTTGTACTTCCTCATGATAAGGCTTTGAGGCCTAGCCTTGAGAGCTACCTGTAGGAATTCATGTTTCCCGATGAGTGGGGTGCATTAGAATCAGCCAGTGACATTTGTCACAGAGTGAGGGTATGGCCAGGGGAGGTTAATTTCTAGAAAGAAAATTCAGGAGCCCAAACTTGTCCCCACCCGGCCTTCTGACCAGAGAGGCCTGCCTTGATTTCAGCTGTGGATGGATGGATGGCCTTTAGCCGGCAACATCTTCAGAGAGGTTCTCTGCTAAGTTCCAGGACTCAGCCTGTATGAGGAAAATAGGTTTCGGGACTCAATCAAAGATGGTTCAGAATTGCCAAAATGTGTCCCAATGCATCAAAGGAGGAGCCTGCAGCAATAATACAGGTCCATTTCCCCTTCCCCCCATAGCAATCACTGAAATATTTGGATATGAGCAGAGTTTCCTCTAAGCTGAGTTAGTGTGAGCTAGCTCACAGTTTTCTAGCCTCTGGCTCACACATTTGTTAGCTCAGGAAGGGATGGCTCCAGAGCAAATTCATTTATGCAGTACCCAAATCGCTCCCTCACAACTTTAATGCCAGCAGCTCACAAAGTAGAATTTTTGCTCACAAAACCCCACAGCTTAGAGGGAGCATTGGACATGTGAGAAAATGGACTTTAAAAAGCAACTAGGTTTTGGGTGGGGGGAGGGGGTGGGGGCAAGAAGAAGACGAAGAGAAGAAGAGATTGGATTTATATCCCGCCCTTCACTTGGAGTCTCAGAGCGGCTTACAAACTCCTTTCCCTTCCCCTCCCCACAACAGACACCCCCTGTGAGGTGGGTGGGGCTGAGAGAACTCTGACACAAACTGCTCTTTTCCAAGGACAGCTGTGCCAGAGCTTGTGACTGACCCAAGGCCACATCAGCAGGTGCAAGTAGAGGAGTGGGGAATCAAACCCGGTTCTCCCAGATTAGAGTCCGCACACTTAACCACTACACCAAACTGGCTCTCAGTTTGGAAACAAAACTAACGAGAAAGATTTTGATGCAAACTTCGGCTGTTGGGGTCAAAGTTAGAAATAAAACACTGCCTTCTGCCCTATGTGTGAATAAATACCTCTCGCAGTTAAAAATAAACAACCGCAAATCATAAACTTGGAACTCCCTAGCGGAAGTGGACGTTCTCACGGGCTGTAGTTCTGAGGTCTCCGTCTGTTCCGAGCTCTGGGCGTCAACGGCCGCCTGGGGACCCCCAGACGGGAGGAAGAAGGGCCCGTGGGGCGGTGGCTTGACTGCCCGGTCCGTGGGGTCCACACATGCCACGAGGGCGCCGGGGACACAGCTGCTGGTGCCGAAGACTGCTGCCGTATTAAGAGCTCCAGCAGTTCCGTCTGGCGGTTCATGATAGCGATAATCTGTTCTGTGCCCACCCGATCTTTCTCACGCTCCTCCAGCTCCGCCTTGGCATAACCATCCAGAGCGGACAAGATCCTGTGAGTGGCTGTCTGCATCCGCCGGTCCGCTGCTTTCGCCAATTCCATGGCCAAATCGTTCCTGGTTTTCTTATGTCGGTTCCGGAGGTTGGCGAGACGTTCCGCGGCCGAAAGACCTGTGGGGCCGGGTAACGGGCTGTGGGAAGGGGTGGCGTGTACGTCTGAAAGCAAAACAATGGAGACAGAATGTGGACACAGAAATGTTGCAAAAGATTCCAAGACCAGCGGGTTGAATCCTATAAGGCAGGAGTCCCTTTTCACACATTTCCTGTGGCCCATCAAGTGTTTCTAGAAAGCGGGTGGGACTATGTGGGATTCATTCCAAGCAGGGCTTCTAATTGGCTACTGTAGAACTGATTGGCTCTCCCCTGTGCCAGTGGCAACGGTCACCAGCAGTGTTCCCCCTAAGCTGAGTTAGTGTGAGCTAGCTCACAGTTTTTTAGCCTCCGGCTCACACATTTTTGTCTTCGCTCAGGAAGGAGGGCTCCAGAGCAAACTAATTTATGCAGCAGCCAAATCGCTCGCTCACAACTTTAATGCCAGTAGCTTACAAAGTAGAATTTTTGCTCACAGGACTCCACAGCTTAGAGAGAGAATTAGTCACCAGGGTGTTGCGTTTATTTGGTTTCACTCCTCTTTCCCAGTGTCTTTTTAAAATGACCCATCTTCTCCCCTGCATTTAGGCATCTCTGTGTTTATGGGGCTCACCCTCCCATAGCAGCCATTTTGTGTTTGACGAGGGGAGATCTGACAAAAGGAGCTTTTATTTTCGAATGCTCATACCCCCAAAATCTTGTTGGCCTCTAGAACATAAGAAGAGCCCTGCTGGATCAGACCAGTGGTCCATCTAGTCCAGCATCCTGTCTCACACATTGGCCAACCAGTTCCTCTGGATGGCCAAGAACAGGGCATAGAGGCCGAGGCCTTCCCCTGATGTCACCTCCTGGCCCTGGGATTCAGAGGATTGGTGCCTCTGAACATGGAGGTTCCCCTCAGTCACCTTGCCTAGTAGCCATTGATGGATTTATCCTCCATGAATCTATCTAATCCCCTTTTCAAGCTGCTTATTCCTGTGGCCATCACTACATCCTATGGCAGTGAATTCCACATTTTAATCACTCTCCATGTAAAGACGCTTCAAGAGGGAATTAGAGAAACATACGGAGCAGAGGTCCACCAGTGGCTATTAGCCACAAAGTATAGATAGGAGCTCTCAGTCTGGGGCAAGGGATGCTCTGTATTCTTGGTGCTTGGGGGGGGCAACAGTGGGAGGGCTTCTAGTGTCCTGGCCCCACTGGTGGACCTCCTGATGGCACCTGGTGTTTTTGGCCTCTGTGTGACAGAGTGTTGGACTGGATGGGCCTTTGGCCTGATCCAACATTGGCTTCTCTTAGGTTCTTATGTTAAAGTCATATTTCCTTTTGTCCATCCTGAGCTTATTGCTCTTAAGGTGTTAGTGGACTAGAAACTGTCTGTCCTACTGCAGTTCAACACAGTTGACTTCCGAAGCGATCTTTATGGAAGAAAAAGAATGGAAAACTGGATCCTGGCAGGACACAGACAGCGGTGGCTGGGTTTCTCCTGTCCTCCAGGACATTTGGGCTCCAGCCCTCGAGGACACCATGCGCCACCCAAACAAGAGGGGAGAGCAGCCAAACAAGTGAGTCAAAACAGACCATGGTAAGGAATTCAACATCACCTTTACCTGCCGTGGAGCCGGGGGTGGCTGGGCTGCCCGGGATACTGTGCGGGGCAGGGGGCAACCGACTAGGGAAGGGGTCAGCTTCTAAAAAACAGAGAGATGTGCAGAATCACCGTGGTGACCAAGACCTTCCCCAAAGAACCCAGGAGCACGTGGAAATGACCTGAAGCTTTGTGGGGGGTTTGGCTTCCTTCTCATCTCCAAATATTTCAGGGTAAAAGAACAGAACCATCAAGGGATTCAGGCTCGTCTCTGCTTTTGCCATCTGCCCCCTGGCTTATTTATTCAGCCATTTATCCCCCACCCATCCTTTTGGCTCAAACCAGCTCCGGGCTTGACCTGTCTGAGCCCCCAGATTCCGCCTGCTGACCCACCAGGACCGCAGCCAGGTTTTTGTGACTTGCGGGGCAGAATCTTTTCTGGTGGGGCTGTCATTATTTGCCATAATGAAGGGGGGGTGGCGCCCCCCCCGCAAGATTTAAAGGGCCCTTCGGCTGGTCAGCTGGGAGCATGTGACCTGCCGATCAGCTGGAGGGCCCTTTGAATCTTGCAGGAGGGGGGGAGTGGGGCGCTCGCCACTCCCTGCTTCTTCTCAAAAGCATTTAAGGGATCCCTCAAATGCTTTCGAGAAGAAGTGGTCGGCCCCACATGCATGTGCTCTCCAAGGATATCTTTAAATGCTTTTGAGAAGAAGTGAAGGGGGCTTTAAAATGCAGGGGGCTGGCCCTTTAAGGAAGGGGGCAGAGCCCCCATTACCCCCACTGTAGCTACGGGCCAGTCACCCACCAGCAGATGTCCTCTGCAATACTTTACTAAGGCCCGCCCTTTTGTCCTTTTGTCTTCAGGCAGGCCCAGATTTCAGGAAGGGGGCTGGCCTCATTTCGTAGAAAAAGAGGTGCTGGAGCTCATTAGCATAACTCATTAGCATAACTCATTTGCATATGCCACACCCCCTGACATCACCGGAAGTGTGTCAGAAGGCAACACCCACCGCTCAGGCTCCACTGGACTGTTTTGGATTGCTAGCTATTGGGGGGGGGGGACGTGCAGATCTGCCCTCACAGAGGAGGAAGAGCTTGTTCCTGAATAAAACTTGGTCTTAAAGGTGCCACTGGACTGTTTTGAGCCTGGGGGGCTCTGCAACTTACCTGGCTGCTTCTTGCTCTGACTGAGGGCTGCTGGGAGCAGGGGGTGGGGCTTGTTGCATATGCCAGCCCCCTGGGCTCTTTACTGCTGGAGCTCCGCTCCTGTGCACTCCTGCAGGAAATGACCCCTGGACAGGTGTCCACCTGGGCTGAGGGGGCCCCATTTCACGGGTCAGCTACTCAATAGCCCACTCAACAGCTGAAACAAACAGTGCAAAGAGTTCCTCTTCTGTGGACCACACTGATCTGCTTGGCCCACGTGGGTCAACTTTCCTTTTTTCCCTTTAAACTTGTGGGGAAATGTATTGGAGCAGAGCCTGGTCAAGGACTGGCACCCAAACAACTGACTGTGAGATCTCTGATAGCCAGTGTTCCCTCTAAGCTGAGTTGGTGTGAGCTAGCTAAGACTCCACCCCCAGATCCACCCCTGGGTCTCTGCTTCAGATAGGTGACCGTTTGTGGGAATAATCTGGTATAACTTTATAGCTCCAAAACGGAATGCTTGCCCCCACTGTACAAAGAGCACTGGAGTCACTCTGTTTCGTATCACCACTGATTTATCTCCCGTATGCATGTGGGAGCCGGCTGAGGGCACTTATCTACTGTTGAGTGAGGAGACCACCCATTCTCCAAAGGAATTTATTCCTCTTTAGAGATTGGTTGGAGGGTGAAGAGAGTTTGATTTCTTTGGGGAGCCAAAAAAAAGGGCTACTGTCTTCTCCCACACACTCCTGACTGGGAATTAAGATCACTGGGAGAGACCCTCCTGACTATTCCATCCGCTGAAGGCGCTCATCTGGAGGGTACACGAGAAGGAGCCTTTTGGGTGGCAGCCCCACGATTACAGAACACCCCCCCCCCAGGGAAATGCGCCTGACCCCCTCAGTCTCACTCTTCAGGAGGCAGCTGAAGGCGGTTTTAGTCAGGAAGGCATTGGATTCACTTCGTTTTTCCTGGCAGCTGCTGTGATTTTAATCTGCCGTTTCTAATATGTATTTTTATGTTTTTGTCCTGTTTAATATCGCAAGCCGCCTTGAGTTACGGAAGGCCGAAAGGTGGCTAATAAATATTTTAAGTAAACACTTACCCGTGCCCGGCTGAGGAGTGCAAATTGGTTCCTCCTCAAAGGTGTCCTCCATTTTGCATTCCGCGGGGCTGGAGTCCATCGAATCCACGAGTTCAATGGAAAACTGGGCGCCGGGATCAAAGACGTCCTGGCTCTCCAGATAGTCCTTGTTCTCTTCGTGCGGGATCCCCTCCCCCAGGCCTCCCAGGGGAGTATCGCCTTCTCCACCTGACTCCTCGGGATGGGCGAAATCCCGGACTCTTACAGAGGCTTGGGCGCTAGAATCCAAAATCTGTTCCAGTTGGTCGTAAAAGGGGCATGCGGCGCGCCCCCTCCCAGTCCCGCTGTTCTCCTTGGCCTTCTTGTAGTCCCTCCTCATGGTTTTGGTTTTCGTCCGGCACTCCTGGGCCGTCCGCTCGTGCCCCCGCTTGGCCATCTCGTTGGCGATGACCTGGAAGGTGTCCATGTTGCGGTGGCTGCTTTGCAGGACTCGCTGGATCCTTTGCTCTCCCCAAACGTCTAAGAGGTCGGCAACTTCGGCATAGGACCAGTTGGTGCCCCGGCGGCTCATCTTTGGGAAACCGTGCATCCGTACAATTGTGCCGACGGTCACTAAGGAGGAAAACGGAGGGTAGCAGAAACCGTAATTCCTCAACCGTCAACTTAATGTAAAGCTCGGGTTTAAACTGCGTGAATTTATTTGTATTTTAAACTTAACTTTCCATTTCCATTCGAATTTAAATTGGTTTGGGGCAGGGGGCCTGCTGTTCAATGGGACTGTTCAATATTCAGTGTTCTCTGGGCTACATTAGGGGTGTGTCGCCTCATATGCAAAGGAGTTCCTGCTGCAAAAAGAGCCCTCGTCGTCTCAGAAGGTAGCCATGTTAGATTTCAGTCCAGGAACACCTCAGAGACCAACAAGTTCTTCAGGGTATAAACTGGCCTGTAGCTACAGTGGGACTATTCGGGGCTCCGCCCCCTTTCTTAAAGGGACAGCCCCACAGGCCCCCTTCCCTAGAACAATCTGTGACCGTTTCATCTCTTTTGTATCAGTCCTCAGTGTAGAGAAAAGCCTTGCAGCTGGATCCTGGGAGGGTTTACTCTACAGTAAGTCATTTCAGTCTTGGAAGATGGACATTTGGCGCTATCGTGTGGCTTGGGGAGGGGTTAGATACACTGAGGGCTTATACAAGAGAGATGAAAGGATCACAGATTGTTCTAGGCAAGGGGCTATGGAGAGCAAGGAGGAAAGAAATGCCCCCCCCCCAATATCTGCCAAACGGGTTTTGCATTTGGGAGAATCTACGGCAAGATCAGGGCGAGAGAAAAAGGGGCACAGGTGGTTCTGTACAGTTGTGTACAGACAGAAAAATAATGGCAAAAATGGCAGAAGAAGAGTTGGTTTTTATACCCTGCCCTTCACTACCTGAAGGAGTCTCAGAGTGGCTTACAATCTCTTTTCCCTTCCTCTCCCCACAACAGACACCCTGTGAGGTACTTGGGGCTGAGAGAGCTCTTTCGAGGACTGTTCTTGAGAGAACAACTCTGAAAGAACTTGTGACAGACCCAAGGTCACACCAGCACCCATATGTGGAGGAGTGGGGAATCAAACCCAGTTCTCCCAGATGAGAGTCCGCGCTCTCAACCACCACACCAAACTGGGAGAGAAAAGAGAAAAGGCTTCTTTTAAGGTCGTACATACTACCCAGTGGTTTTTCAAATTCCTGTATAAAAATAATCTAATTAAAAACATGGTGCTGATTGATAGGCAACATCTTGGTAGGCCACTTAAAAAAATCTTATAATCAAAATCATTAAGTCAATTACACTTAGCAGCCCTAAAGGTACTACCCTCTCAATTAATTATATGCTGAATTATATTTAAATACAAGCAGCTGCATAGTCTGCAGGTTGCAGGAGAGGCACCCCCCCCCTTTCTCTCCCACAAGTGTAAGGGAATGCCTCTGCCAAGACTCAAACGAGATGCGATTTTTTTTTTATACATCAGACAGCAACTACAGAGAACTAATTTCCAAAGTGTCACACTTTGGAGCTCATTTTGGATTGGGACCACAGTGCAGAAGAAAGGTCTGCAGTCCCCCCAACACCATTTTCCCATCATCATTCCCTTCTCAATTTTATCCTCACAACAACCCTGCGATGCGGTTGAAGCTGAGTGTGCGCAGCTGTCCCAAGGTCACCCAGCAAGCTTCCATGGCAGAGCAGAAATTCAAACCTGGTTCTCCCAGATCCCAGATTTGGGGGGGGGGGGCAACAGTGGGAGGGCTTCTAATGTCCTGGCCCCACTGGTGGACCTCCTGATGGCACCTGGTATTTCTGGCCACTGTGTGACACAGAGTGTTGGACTGGATGGGCCTTTGGCCTGATGCAACACTGGTGTCTCTTATGTTCTTACGTTCTTTCTCTGATACTCTACCCACTACACCACACTGGTTCTCATGACGCGCGAGTGTGGTTCCGTTATGGAATCCTGTACAGGAAGCTTATAAGGAATCCTTGGTTCCCTGACTGTAAATCAAGGCAGAACGAACTCTTACCTGCCTCCCCCTCAAGCCCATGCTGCACCTCCCTCCGGAGAAGTCTCCGCCTATCCACCAAGAGGTGCTCTGACTCAGGGGAATGGGTGTCCATCTCTTCAAACAGCACTGGTACCTGGGGAAAATGACAAATGACCATTTCACAACGTATGTAACGGTTCAGATATACATCAGGTCTGCGGGCCCAAGTTGTGACACTGGCTTTAATTTTTAAAGCACCAAGCAGTCTGGGTTCCAGAAGGTCTCTGAGAACTCTTCCTCGAAAACCAAGATCGACAGTGAAGCCCAGCACCGAGGCTAGATTGGAGGCCACATGGAGCGGGGCCTTTTCTGGCATGGCCCCAAGGCTCTGAAGCACCAAGTCTTGGGAAAATCTGATCGGCGCGCTCCATGTGTAGGCAACTGAGATGTTTCTTTTTCGTTCTGTTCCGCCTCTCCTCAAATTGTTCCAGGCATGTTTAAGCAACCATGGCTCTATTTATATCCTGGGTACATGGACTCAGTGATCTGTTTATGCGGAACGCACCCCGCCATCCCTGGCATGAGCCCAGCAGACATTGAAGAAGACGAGATTACCCGCTGTGCTGTTAGTAACTACTGAAATGAGTTGACTAAACCTTGGTTGTTTGTATTGCTGTTTTAATGAATTGCTTTAGAAGAAGAAGAAGAAGAGATTGGATTTATACCCCGCCCTTCATTTGGAGTCTCAGAGCGGCTTACAAACTCTTTTCCCGTCCCCTCCCCACAACAGACACCCTGTGAGGTGGGTGGGGCTGAGAGAACTCTGACACAAACTGCTCTTTTTCAGGAACAGCTGTGCCAGAGCTTGTGACTGACCCAAGGTCATCCAGCAGGTGCAAGTGGAGGAGTGGGGAATCAAACCCGGTTCTACCAGATTAGAGTCCGCGCACTTAACCACTACACCAAACTGGCTTTAGTAATGATTATATGATTTTGTTGGATTATATGTTGTAAACTGCCCTGAGCCCGCATGCAGGGTAGGGTAGGATGCAAGTCTCAAAAATAAATTAATTAATTAATATTCCTTCAGTGTTTACCTGCTGCTCCTGCCTCTTGGCTCTTTCCCACAGAACCTCATCCGGCTGCTGGGGGTTCCCCCATCCTGAATGCGGTGAGGGGACCACCTTCAAGTGCTCCTGAGCCAGTGTCTCCCAGCACGGGGGCAGCTCTTCATCCGGCTCCTGTTTCACCTGGTCTGGTGCCACCCATCCTAGGACATCTCTCAGTCTCCCGGCCTGGATCACTCGGGGGCCTTTTGCTCTTTCGTCCTCGTCCTCCTCCTCGTCCTCCTCCATCTTTATTTGTGGTGGGTAGAACCCCTGCTCTTGGGCGGCCTGGAACTTGAGGCCCAAGTGGACAGCTGTCGTGCGCTTGGCGGCCATTCTGTCTCCTCCAGCACGGCAAACGAGGCCTAGCCCATCTCTCACAGCTTGACCTCCATCACTGCCAGCACTGCCTTAGAGTCCACCCTCCAAAGCATCCATTTTCTCCAGGGAAACTGATCTCTGTAGTCGGGAGATGAGCTAATGCTAGGTCTTCGGTTCAGCCTTCTGGAAGCTGCTATAAATTATCCAAGGCATTTTGACAAATGGGGGATATCGACATCCCACGAGAAGTTTCTCCCTGAGGGAAAAGAGAGAAACATTTACTTTATCTATTTCATTTATTTTTATTTCATTTATTTATTTTATTTATATTTGGATTTATATCCCGCCCTACCTCGAAGGCTCAATAAAACACATAATATAAAACAATAAAATACAATAAAATACAGTAACAAGTTTAACCAAGATGGGTCGATCTTAACCTCCATGGTAGCTTCCTGAAATCTTGTCATCCAAATCATGCCCAGACGCCTCGTCCCTCCAGTGGGATCCAGTCAATCATGATGGTAATACAATAGTGCATAGGGGCGGTGGTGGAATAGTGGTGGCGTTTCTCCCCAACAGGTACTCAGAGTGGCTTACAACATTCTCCCTGACTCCATGTTATTTTAGGCCGACACAGGGTTGCCAGGTGCACTCTGGCCACCAGTGGGGGAAATGGGGGGGGGCACACGGTGGCTCAAGTGGTTAAGACGCTGAGCTGCAGACCGGAAGGTCTGTAGTTCAGCAGTTTGAGACCCGAGTGTCGCACGATGGAGTGAGCTCCCACCTCTGGACCCGGCTCCTGCCAACCTAGTCGTTTGAAAGCAAGAAACTGCAAGTAGATAAATAGGTACTGCTTCGGTGGGACAGTAGCGTTCCGTGCACCTCGGCGTTTAGTCGTGCCAGCCACATGACCATGGAAATGTCTCCGGACAGCGCTGGCTCTTCAGCTTGGAAACGGAGATGAGCACCACCCCCTAGAGTTGGATTCGACTGGCTTTTGAGCAAGAGAAACCTCTACCTTTAGGGTTGCCAGATTCAGGTTGGGAAACTCCTGGAGATTTAGGGGTGAAGCTTGAAGACGACAGGGACCTCAGTGGGGTACAATGCCACAGAGAGTCCACCCTCCAAAGCATCCATTTTCTTCAGGGAAACTGATCTCTGTAGTCTGGAGATGAGCTGTAATTCTGGGGGGATACCCACGTCTCCCCTGGAGGCTGGCATCCCTAGAGAGGCCCAAGGTGGGAGTCCAAACCTAGTTTCCCCAGATCTTAATCCACCACTCTATCTTGTCCACCACTTCCACCTTATGAAGAGGAATCAAATGACCAAACTGAGTGGATTGGTCTCTGTCTGAGGTGTTTTTGTCCTGCTGTCCTCCGCAGAGCTCAGGGCAGCAACAATCATTCTCCTTTCCGCATTGTATGTTCACAACAATGCTGTGTGGTACGTTAGGCTGAGAGAAAGCAACCGGTCAATCAAATTTACTCCGGCTGCGGTCACACGGAGCAGTAGCCATGCTACTGCGATGGAAGATAGGCGGATTTTCCGGGTGCGATCTCACCGCCACATCTGGGAAGCGTAGAACTCCTGTGGCAAACCCGAGGCTTCCCTCCGAAGATGCGCGGTTAACCGTGGGGCAAGGGCGGGCGTCTGATCGCGTTTCCGGTGGCATCCGGCGCCCGCCCATACCCCATTGCGAAAAGTTTTTCCCCCCCAAAGTCTCCAGGGATGCGCACAAGCACCCAACGGGGCATGCACATACTTCAGGTTAAAAAAAGCAAACAACCCCGTTTGCCGTGCTGCGCCGCTTCTTTGGCACGTCGTGTGATCGGCACCTCCCCCCTAACCATGGGACCTCGACGGGACCGCGAGGGGACGCCTGATCGCGCAGTCGCGCGTTATTTCGCTGCGGGGCAAACAGCCACGCCCCCCCCCCACGCGATATCCGGCCCGTGTGACCGGGGCCTCAGCAAACTTTGTGGCAAGTTCTAACCACTGGGCCACAATGGCTGTTTTACATTTGGCCAGTGTTTCTGTGCCGGAGGCCAATGCAAGCAAGTAGTGTTCACAAGCTAACATGAACAAGAGGGCATGGTCCCGGCTCCTACCATTAAAAAATGGCAGTAGAATTCTTTCTGACAGAGGCGGAGCATCGTAATGACTGGACAAACAGGCCTAGCGGAAGAGAGACCACCGCTAAGTCTCTCCAAGGGTTCACCGCTAGGAACTGGAGGTTGCCAATGACTTCCCGGAATCTTTAGCTGAATCAGTGCCTGCCTTTTAACCAATTACTAACTGATTTTAAATCAATTTTATTAATTTATTTATCAATTTATTAAGAGAAGAAGAGAAGAGATTGGATTTATACCCCCCCCCTTCACTCGGAGTCTCAGAGCGGCTTACAAACTCCTTTCCCTTCCCCTCCCCACAACAGACACCCTGTGAGGTAGCTGGGGCTGAGAGAGCTCTGAGAGAACTGTTCTTTCAAGGACAGCTCTGACAGAACTATGGCTTGCCCAAGCTCATCCAGCAGCTGCAAGTGGAGTGGGGAATCAAACCCAGTTCTCCCAGATTAGAGTCCACACACTTAACCACTGAGACTGTGTGACTGGCCCAAGATGAGACAGCAACCTCCTGTGGCACAGCGGGGGATTCGAACCTGGGTCACCCAGATCCCAGTCTAACACACTGCACCACATTGGGCCTGTTGTCAAAAAAGCAAAAAAATAGGCTGGATATGGAAATAACAGCTAAAGAAAAGCTGAGCTAAAACAGGGGGAGGGGGATATATTGGGATTACTAAAGGCTTGATAATTAAATGTTGATATTTCTGAACATTGGGAGGGCATTGCACATATGTGGGAAACTGACTTCCTAAATCTTGCATAGTTTGCCCAAAGCCTTATAAACATTGTCAAACAGGAAGGGGTGGGGGGGATTGTGAAAAATATGAAGCGGCGGCAGCTACAAGCATAGACAGCTTCAAGAGGGGACTGGAGAAACATATGGAGCATTGGTCCATGAGCGGCTATTAGCCACAAGGTATAAGAGGGAATACTGTCTGGGGCAGTGATGCTCTGTCTTCTTGGTGCGGGGGGTGGGGGGCAACGGTGGAAGGGTTTTTGGCGTTCTGGCCCCACTGGTGGACCTGGGTTTTGGCCACTGGGTGTCACAGAGTCTGGGACTGGATGGGCCATTGGCCTGATCCAACGTGGCTTCTCTTATGTTCTAATCTCCCAGAATTGCAGCTGATCTCCAGTAGGGTTGACAGCTCTGAGCGGGGAAATACCTGGAGATTTGGGGGGTGGAGCCTGGGGAGGGCAGGGTTTGGGGCGGGACCTCAGCACAGTATGATGCCTTAGAGTCCACCTTCCAAAGCAGCTATTTTCTCCAGGGGAGCTGATGTTGGTTGTCTGGAGAGCAGTTGTAAAAGCAGGAGATCTCGAACACCCCCCCCCCGAAGGTTGGCAACCCTAACCCGAGCGACAAAGATCAGTTCCTCTGGAGCAAAGGGCTTTTTGGAGGATGTCCTCTATGGCATCATACCCCGCTGAGGGTCCCTCCCCTTCCAAAAGCCTGTCCTTCTTGGGCTCCTCCAGGCCCCAAGTCTCCAGGAATTGTACCCACCCAGAGTTGGCAACTGTAGTTCTTCCTTCCGCTTTCCAGTTCCTGCATTGAGCCACGTTCATTTCCCTCCCTTTGCAACTGTACCTCTCGCCCACTCCCAACGGGGGGGGGGGACCGCTACGTGCACCCCCTTCAGAGCTCACCTCAGCCATTCCCTCACCATAAGTGGGGAGATGGGGGGGGGGAGCTTCCTCCCCTCTGCAATCGCAGCTGCTGCGGGAGCTGGCGGCAGCACGCATCCAGACAGCCGATTTCCTCCCCTGCCCCCACCAGGAAGACGCTTTCATGCTTGGCCAGCCGCAGCCTGGATTTTCTCTCTAGGCAAGTCCGGCTCTCTGGGTTTAACCCTACGAAGGCTCATCGCAGGAAAGGGGGCCGGTCAAGCCAGGCAGGGGACGGCACGTCAAGTCTTGCAGAAACCTCAGAACTGGGAAGGCTGGTGGATCCGAGTGGAGCTATAGCATGCCGGCCACCTGACCACGGAAACGTCTTCGGACAGCGCTGGCTCCTCGGCTTGGAAACGGAGATGAGCACCGCACGCTAGAGTCGGATTCGACTGGCTTTCGAGCAAGGGAAACCTTTACCTTATGTAGCATTTGGTGGGGGAGGTGGGGGATGCATATAGTCATGCTGGCCGTCCTTGCAGGGCTGTTGTGACTTTTTGCTAAGATCATGTAGCTGAAGTGATTTGGAGGCTTGTTTTTATTGATTTTGCTTCGCTGATAATCTGTCTTTCTCCCCAAAAGGTCTTTACACCGCTCTCCTTTTTTATTTTGTCTTCACAACAAGCCTGTGATGTGGTAGGCTTGCCAACCTCCAGGAGGTACATGGAGATCTCCTGGAATTACACCTGATCTCCAGAAGGTCAAGCTCCCCCACCCTGGAGAGAAGGGCAGCATAGACGGCATTATACCCATCTCAGCGCCCTCCCTAAACCCTTGCCCTCCCCAGGCTCTGCCCTGTTAGGTCTCCAGGCATTTTCCAACCCAGAGTTGGCAACCCTAGGTTAGCCGAGACGGTGATTGGCCCCAAGTCGCCCAGCAGGCTTCCATGTCAGAATGTGGGGATTTAGACGTGGGAGTCCCAGATCCTAGTCCAATACTAATCACTATACCATGCTGCTTCTCTTCGAAGGTGCCAATACACAGTGGCTGCAGTCACACATGCTAAACAATCCACTTCCAAGGGCCGGCCCCAGCTTATTTTGCACCCTAGGCGAGGATCCCTTCTGGCACCCCCCCCCCCCCGTGCGCCCACCATTTTTCAAAAATAAATGCATTTTAGGAAGAATGAAAAACACAAATAATCAAGAAACTCCCAGAGTACGGGGCCGGGTGCCCCTAAGGGCCAGCCCACTCTAGGCGATCGCCTAGTTTGCCTAGTGAGTGAGCCGGCCCTGCTTCCGGTGCATGTTCCAACTGGATTTTTGTCACTCGTTTTTCCCTATTGCTTTGGGTCTGGGGGGCCCCTTTCCACATGCATTTTGCTCCCTCTGGGACTACTAGAGAAAGCAAAACACATTGGGGGGGGGAACAAAACTTAAAGCAATAGGGACAAACGAGTGAGAAAAATGACCGTGCGGAAGTGAAATGTGTGAACTGGCA